AAACAGCATTTGTAAAATAAATATAAATGAACATGTAATGAAGTGAGTTTGAACACAGAGTTAAAGCATCTCAGAAGAGGTAGACTCAGAGTGACATGATGTCACAGCAGGAGGAGGCTGTGTACGGGGCTGTTTTACTAAACAGATCAAGCTTCACTGCATTAAGACTCTTTGGAAGAGACATTTGTATTTAAATACACCTAAAGGGAAGATGAGAAATCAACATTATTTTCATAATCTTATCCTCTCTGAAATGTTCCCTGAAATGTTTAAAACTCAAGCTAAAAGGTAATTCATTTAAACCCAACAAAACAGCTGCTTGTAAAAGTAACTTAATTAGCAGAAACACTAGAATTACTATTTTATAAATACTTTTTAAAAAGAGAAATCCTGTTTACCCTATAAGGCGATACCCCAGAGGACATTCCTCCCCCCTTCTATTTCCTGACATGTCCAGACATTGGCTGTGTCTCATTTCATGGGCCGGGTCCTCGTGAGCACGTAGCCCAGCTGGGCCACATCCTCCCTGGGCTGGGTAGGCTGCTCAAAAAATGAAATGGGACAATCTAGCCTTCACTTAAGGTAAGTTTGTGTGACCACTCGCTCCCATGTTACCACAGTAATCAGTTTCATATCAGACAAAATGTGTTGGGACGTGTATTTACACGTCTTTTTACTGGAAGAACAACTTCACAGTTAAAACATTACAAATAAACAAATAAATAAATAAATAACTAAACAAGCATTAATAATTCAGGTTTTGCTCCAGTATACTTGTAGCTGCATTTTTTTATTTAACATCTTATTGCAGCATAAATTTCATCAGCTAAATTGCTAAACTTACGTTTAAAAACAAATTCTTCGGTCTGTGGTTAATTTCCAAACTTCGCTGACTTGTTGAAACAACTAAAACTCAACCGTCTTCATTTCTCTGTTTATTTTGCTGTTGGCGCATTGAATCCTGGGATATCCTCGCCTGTTGAGGAGACATAGATGCTTCCTTGGTTTTCTCGAGTTTGTTGCCTGTATTCCTCGGCCACACGAGGAGGAGTCTTCGAAATGTGACAGCGCTCTGTCCGGGGCAGTGACGTGCAGCCGACAAATGCACACTAATGAATAAATTCAGACACAAACAGCGGGTAAAATAAGTATTGGACACGTCAACATTTTTCTCAGTAAATATATTACTAGAGGTGCTAATGACATGAAATNTCATGAGAATTGTCGCTCAGGAGTGAGTTGAAGTTTTTTGTTATGCTGTTGGAAGACTATTGTTTTAATTTATTTACTGTTTGAAAAAAAGGGGCAGATATTAATAAGATTTTTTCTTTCTGCTGCCTTTCATTTTATTTGTGATTTGTATTTTTTTTGTTGAGTGTATATTATTTGTTGTATGTTTTAATGAAATGAGTAAAAAATTTAAATAAAATAAATAAATACAACACAGGATTTAACTCAGCATTTTGAGACTATCTCCGTTTTATGAAATGCTATGTTTTACTTAGTGGTTTTACTTCATTGTTTCCTAAATGAGTGATCCAGGATCAGTCAGCTCTGAAACAGACTCTTTAGATGTGGTAATAAAGTCAGACTCTGATGCTTGATAAGTGAATTTTAAGCCCACCTTTGAGCCTTTTTTTTGCACTTCTTAACAGCATTAAGAGTAGATCTGAGAGGTTTGATTAGGAGGTTGTTCTGGTTCTGTTAAAGCATGATTCTTGGCTCTGAAAGCACCTGGACTCCTGCAATGACAAAAATAAAAACACTACCGGACCTTTGAAGGCAAAGTAGGCAGTTCGTCTGAACCCAATCAACTTGCATCATATCCTCTCATAAACCAGACATAATGAATTTTCTCAGAAGAAAGAGGTCAAACTAGATTTTGTGACCAGCTGTCAGATAAGGAGCAGGTGATAAAGAGTAATATCTGTTTAACTTCCAACCACAATGTGGCTGTGATTTCAATGTAGTTTACCAGTATTTTAATGTTTTTTTTTATCAGATAGTTAAATTGTTCATTGTTAAATAAGAAATTTCACTAAAATGTTTTTTATTGGAACAACACACAGCTGTCGTTCAACCATCCTGGAATTTTATTTCAACGTATAATTAATATGAAGACAAATAGATTTGAAAACAGCATTTGTAAAATAAATATAAATGAACATGTAATGAAGTGAGTTTGAACACAGAGTTAAAGCATCTCAGAAGAGGTAGACTCAGAGTGACATGATGTCACAGCAGGAGGAGGCTGTGTACGGGGCTGTTTTAC